CCCTCCTCTAACAGTCACCTCCCAGGCCCCACCTAACACGGGAATTTGGACATCAGCATTTCATCCAAAGCCCTGCAGTGGGGAGAGGGACAAGGACTCCCAGGCAAGGCCTCAGAGGGGGCTCCGGGACTGTGTGTGCCCTTCTCTGTCCCACATTAATCACAGGCCACCCTGGCTGGAGAGCCACTGAGCACGCGGCCTTAGTTATGCGTGTGGGTGGCGGCCACCTCGGGTCTCTGCTCTTCAGAGGAAGCGAAGGGTGGCTGGTTAGTGACAACAATGATGTCCTCCTCCGTTACCCAGCTACACAAACTTCTTGTCACTAAGAAAGAAGGGCAGGGGAAGAAGCTCTCCGCCACCAGCCTGCCACGGATGTGGCGGAGGTCAGCTGTCAGATGGGAAGCCTTCCTTAGGAGCACTCTTTATAAAATCAGAAACAGATGCAAATATCTGTCACGGCTGATTCCATTCAGCCTGCAGTACAGAACCCAGACAAGCCAAGGAATTCGTGTTATAAAAATTGGGAAGAAAGAATAAAGCATCTTGGGTCTGTCAGTGACATAATCTCCAGGTAAACTGTAACAAACTTCCGCTTCCAGACTTCCGTGTGCATAAATCCAATATGCAAAATGTGACATTTCCCCTCTAGGTAGGGAACAAATAGAGAATTCAGTTGAAAAGCATTCGTTGCAATGGCATTGAAGGTAATAAGATACCAGGGAATAAGACCTTTCCAAAACTGTGTGTGACCTTTCCGAGAGAAAATTATAAAACTTTATTGAAAGACATAAAGAAGGAATACACCACGTTAATGGCCAGGCTGGCTGAATTTACAAAGATGTCCGCCTTCTCCAAATCCTGTGAGAAATGGGTATCAGGAAGATCTCAGGTGTGAGCCGTTTGGGCAACTTGGTGAGACCTTGTCTCAAAACATTTTAAAAGGGCCTGGGAGGTCGCTCAGGGTGCAAACCTTGGTTCAAGCTTCAGTGTCACGGAAAAACAAACCCACTCGCCCTGCAGGAGCGCACGCAGGAGAGTATCTTTATGAAACTGGGTAGGAGGAATTCTTAAGCAAGACTCGGGGAAGGAAATTCAAAATTGGACTACATACAAATGAAAATTTTGTTTATTGAATGTCACATCTTATAAAATAAAAACATCCCAAAGCCTGGAATTAAACTATGCAATGCCCATAGCAATACAAGCCTTGGAGTCAGAGTATGTGAGGGACTCCAAATAAATGTAAGAGAGACACGAAATTCTCCCCTAAAGAAATGGACCAATGACACCAAACGGTGATTTATAGAACGCTAGAAATTAGTTGATATGAGCCAAAACCACCGTAAGTCTTAGTTACTTTTTCATTGCTGGGACAAAATACCTAACACCCACCAGTTAAAGGAGGAAAGTATATTGTGGGTCACAGTTTGTGGAGGTTTCAGTCCATAGGCAGCTGACTCCAACGCAGGATGGCATGGCCGAGGAGAAACAGTCCATGCAGGGCAGGCAGGAAGCAGGAGGAGGAGGAGGGGGAGGGGGAGGGGGAGGAGGGGGAGGAGGGGGAGGAGGGGGAGGAGGGGGAGGGGGGAGGAGGAGGGGGGAGGAGGCTTCCCCTTTTATCTCACTGAGGCTGCAAAGCTGTTGGGTAGCACCCATCCCAGGGTGGGGTTTTCCTCTTCAGTGAACCCATTTGGCCACACCCAGAACCATACTAATCCGATCAGTACACTAATACTGTTAGCATACACCCATGATCCAGCATGCAAACCTCCATCCAGCCAGCTCCAAAGAGTCCAGCCTGTGAGCCCGTGAGGTTTAGGGGACCATCCAGACACAAGTCATAACAGGCGCCAAATCATAGGTGCCAGGTCAGCAAAAGAATCAAGTCTCACAGGTCTCACAGGTCTTGTGCAGGGTGTAGACGGGGACTCTGGGAGCATCACTTAGCGCTGTCTTCGGAGATGAGGGATGGGTGAGCCCTATTTTCCTGTCACCCCACTGTTAGAGAAACCAACTCCAGGAGCCCGGGGATCCTCAGAATTGTTGGTAACACAAACATTCACAGCAGATTGGATAAAAACATTTCAGTACATTCACATAGTGGAACTGTATTTGTCTGTGCTTAGTAGAGAAACAGATTTAATAAAAGATATATAAATATATAAGAATTTACAAGACTGGCTTACCGTGGCCGCCCACAGACTCGGGTTGCACACTGGGTCTGCCTGCACACCGGGGATTGGAAGGATCTGGTTGAAAGCCTGAAGCTCTGGGTAGTGTCTGAGTGAGTCTGCATCAGGAAGCCCAAGCTCTGGTGTGGGGCTTGACGAGTCTGCACTAGAAGCCAGGAGAGGATGTCCAAGATGAAGGTGAGGCTGGAGCTCCTCAAAGAAAACAGAAACAATCCTCCTACTTTGTTTTCCCTTTATACCATTCTGGCGACATTCCTCCCTATGATGGGTCTTCCACACACAGAACTACACTGATTCAGTTTAACTGGGCGTTTCTTACAGTGATCACAGGAATATTATACACCAAGGAAAAATCACTTAACTAGAACTTTAAGTTAAACATTTCCCAGGCTGTGCCTCCAAAATCCCAAGGCCTATGTGGAGAGACGTGGGCTATCCGCTTACGAATGACCCTGAGACAAGAACTAAAACTTCTGCAGGGACAGTTCAGTCAGGTGGATTTGAGCTGAAAATGAGGAAAGCGTTTGTAACAGGCCAAACTGGCCAGGGATGAGCTTCCCGTCTTTGGAAGTGTGTGAGTGGGACAGGGCAGCTGCTGCACGGACAGTGAACCAGGCATGGCGTACAGTGCAGCTAGGGTGGGATTGGGGACAGGAGCCCTTGCGTTCCTCTAGACCTGGGGGCCGTGTGATTCACTGAGGGTGCTCAGAGGCAGAGAGGGGTTACAGGAGTGAACCGGGACCCCCCGGGACCCCCCGGGACCCCCCAGGACCCCTGGGCCGCGCTGAGCGCAGGAACGTGGGTGCACCGCCCACAGACACCATGCTGAGGAGGTTTGCAGGGGACGCGCGGACTGACCGTATCACTGGGAGGCCTGCGGAGGGATCTCCCACGAGGGTGGAGCCTGCGGTGTGAGGCTGCGGAGGTGGAGGCGGGGAGAAGGAAAATGGGGGGGAAGGAAGGGGAGGGGAGAGGGGGAGGGGACCCCGGGCTGCAGGCTCCGCCTCTTGATGGCAGCAGAGGTCAAGGCTTCTCCCGCCCTTCTCGTTTACTTGTCACTGCCCCCCCCCCGCCCCCCTGCCCGCCAGGCCCCTGGGCCACCTGCAGGTTTTGGACATTCCGGGCTCCCGCATGCCTGTGTGCTGCGTCTGGTGTTGTTCAGGGCCGGCTTCCACGGTTCCATGGCAAGGTCTTGGTACTCAGGTGGTGCATAATTATGCCTGCCGCGTGAAGCAGCGAGTCCACGGCGGCCAGCCGGGGATGTCCTTGGCGCATGCTGTGCCGAAGTAGTTCTCTAGACATGGACAGCAGGCGCGGTGTGAGGGCGGCGGGGCCTCGTGCGGTTGGGCAGGTTGTGCACTGCACAAGGAAGCTCTGCTCCGGGCTGAGTGAAGTGAGACCCAGCACACAGGCTGCCTCCCGGGCCACGCCCCCTGGCGGGGTCCTCTCGAGGTCCTCTCCGTGCCTTTTCCTTTTTAAAGTTTGTGTGAGTGCTGGGAATTGCACCTAGGACCTAAGGACTCAGAGCTTGTGCCCTACCTCCGTGACACAGGGATGTCATTCCTGGAACAATCCTAGAGTGACAGGAGCCCTGGAGAGAGGGTGTCCGCCTCTGTCCTCCGCCCAGGCCCCCATTGTGGGTCAGTGACCCTGACACAGGCGGGGGGGGGGGGGGCTGTCAAAGCTGAGAAGTGAACCCTGGGCGAATCTGGTGGCTCGATTTCAGGCTCGGGCTGCCGTGTTCGCCTCCTACGAATGTTCCTTCTGGGGTCCGATTCAGGGCGGGCACCACAGCAACGTCCACTCCTTCCTTTAGATGGACCCCAGGCCGCCTTGGGGACCAGCAGGAAATGGGGGGGTGACATTTGGGCCCAGCCCCAGCCCTCAGTACCCTCCTGTGGGTGACAGATCCAAGGTGGGTGACCCCAGCTGGGGAGGTGCTGGGGGTGAGGAGAGGGAACTTGGAGACAGCTGGTGTCTAGCGTTGTTCTGAGCCCGCCTGGAAGTCTGCGTGGCCAAGTGGAGCACACACTCCCCCAGGCCTGCTGCCGAGCTGTGGCCTCAAGCCTGGCCCCCCACTGTAGCACCAGGGGTCAGGGGGCTCGGATTTGCCTGCGCCATCCTAGTGCACCAGCTGACCTCTCAGCCTCTGTGCTCTGCATCTGTGAAATGGGTCGAGGTACTGGTTCCAGTCCCAGGGACACGGGGCTGCCTGAAGGGCGCCATCCTCCTCTCCCTGCCTTAGTGTCCTTCTCCATTGGCTGCCGAGTTGCCCCTTCCTGCCTCACCCCTCCTCTAACTCCTGCACGTGCCCTTGCTGGGGGCCCCTCCACATGAGGCCAGGTGATGCCCACCCCAGTGCCCTGGCTTGGACACCATGTTCCAAGTGCCAGCCCGAGTGAGGCCGACCTGAGCTCCCCAGCTCTCCCTCCTCCCTGCAGCTCCTCGGGGCTCTAGTCACTTCCCGTCTCGCCCACAGGCACCTGTGCCTCAGTCTTTGCTGTTTACCCTCGAGGCCTCCTGCACCCAGGGGCACCCACTCCTGTTTCTGTGCCAGGTGCCCAGCAGGCACCCGGGAAACGCTGGCACTTGAGGTGAACTGACCTTGGGGAAACCTCAGTTCTGGGGCAGCAACCTTGGCCCCATCCTTCAGAGGAAATGGGTCTCCCAGTCCAGAGCAGGCCCAGGTGTCCTGCCAGAGCCCAGGGCCGGTGCCTGGGGGTGGAGGGCAGGGCCAGCACCTGAGGCCCCCTCCCCTGCCCGACTGCAGGCCCCGCCCTCTGCAGGCCAGGGCCCACGGCCCGGCGAGTTCCTCTTCCGCTTCCTCCTGTCTCCTGTCCCTGGGCTGCTTCTCCTCCCCTCCGGGCCACCTCACAGCTCTCCACACCCCTGGTGCCCGCAGGCACGCTGCTGCTGGCTGTGAGCTGTCACTGCCACACCCCAGGCCAGGACACCATGCAGGCCATCAAGTGTGTGGTGGTGGGAGATGGGTAGGTACCTCGGGGACAGCGGAGACCCTTCCGCCCTGCACCCCAGCAGATGGGCAGGTGGCGGAGTCTGGGGGGCCGCCGGGAGGAGTCCTTCCTTCTTTCCCAGGGCCCAGAGGGAGCACCTGGGGTGGCTGCGGACAGCCTCGCCCTTCATGCCCGTCCCACCCTGCAAACGGCTGGGCCGGTGGGCGGTGGTGCCTGGGGCCCGAGGAGCCTGCACCCTGAGAGCCGGGGCAGGGCTGCAGTGTGGTCCGCGGTTCTGTGGATCTTGTCTGTCCCAGCAGGCCTGGGTGGTGGCCCTGGTTTGCTGCTGCACAGGTCATAACACAACTCCAAGTCTGGGCCAAGCCATCTGGGGCTGCTGTGTGGGGTCACAGGGACAGCTCAGGGGGGCCGTGTGCATTTCGACACCCTGCCCCCACCTCCAGCCTGACGGTTGGAACCGGAGGATGTGGGGGAGAATCGGAGGCGGGGTTAGGAAGGAGGTGTGGGGGCCAGCGGGGGGCAGGCTGGGCCAGGGGCCTCTCAGTGGTTGGAGCTCAGTGACTCCGCAGTCCTGTCCCCTGCAAGCCCCATTTTCGCATCTGTAGGATGACAGGGCCAGGGTGCCAGGCTCTCACACCAGCCAGGGTGTTAGGGTCCAGACAACCCTGCCTCCCGGGCACCCCAAGTCCGTGCCAGTGTGGTCCAGCTGGCCCATCCTGCAGGGCTGCAGCCTGCAGCCTTGGGAGTCTTGGACCCCTCCGGGCCTGAGCCCCCGGAGCCCGACTTTGACTGAGATCAGGCTCAATGGGGGCGCAGCCGGCTGCCCGTTATCTGCCCCATCTGCCCGCCCTGTACACTTCTGCTTTGTGCAGATGGGGGAGGCGCGGAAGTCAAGGGTAACGACGTCCCTGTCATTCAAAGCTACCTTGGTGGCAGGCTCTGGGGAGGGTGGCGGTGGAGAAAGGGTGAGAAATCTGCCTGGAACAGGAAGTGACAAAACCCAGCCGAGCTGGGGAAGGCCCAGAGCTGCCCGTCGCTGGCTGTTCTAAGAGCTGCATGCGCCCCGCTCACCTGGCAGGCCAGGGCGGCCAGCGGGAGCAGTGGCTGTCACCACTTAGTCTTCCCTAACTGTGTGTCAGGCACTGGGCTCCGTCCTGCCCCTCTTTAACCTCCCCACCATCCCCGAGACCACGTCCCTTTATTAGGTGGGACAGGGAGCCTCAGAGAGGGTTACTAGTTTGCCTAAGACCTCACAAGATTCGAACCCATGCTCTGGGACTGCAGTCCTGTGCTCTTCTGCTGAGCACCGTGGTGCACGGACAGGCAGAGGGCCAGGCTCTCCTGACAGTCGCTGGCTGCCACGGCCGTGCCAGGCACTGGCTAAGTGCTCTCGTGAGCACCGTCAGAGCCGTGCCCCACACACTCCTAGGAGGATGGATTGTCCTTGTTTTTCAGATGGGGAAACTGAGGCAGAGAGCGGTTTAGGTGACTTCCAAGGCCACACCTCTAGTAGGCAGTGGGATTTGCAGCCCAGCAGTGCGATGGCAGAGCTGGGTCAGAAAGCCAGGCCTCCTGGGCTTTTATTCCTAGTTCTGCCCCGGTCTTTGGACCAGAGTCTCTGGTGTCCCAGGTGGGAGCCTGGACCCGGAGGCCTGGGCCTTGGCAGATGCTGGGTCTTGGAGCACCAGGCAAGGACGCAGACCCTCCTCGTGTGCCAGCAGAGCCCTTGAGCATGTCCTCTCTGGCTTCCTGTCTTTCAGAGCTGTGGGCAAGACCTGCCTCCTTATCAGCTACACCACCAACGCCTTCCCCGGAGAGTACATCCCCACCGTGTGAGTGCTTTGAGGGCCGGGCAGGGTGGTACCTTGGGCTCAGGTGGCAGGGGTGCCACTGTCCACCTGGGCTTGGCCGGGCTGCCACAATGGCAATGGGGACAGGGTGGGAGATAGGAGGTGATCTTCAAGCTGGCCTCAGAGAAGAGAGTGGAGGAGAGGGCTGGAGAGGGGCTGGGTGGAGAAGGGGGCATGACCATTGCTTTGCTTCCTGTTCCCTGCTGCTGGGTGAATGTGCCCTGGGTGCTTCCACCTCAGGGCCTTTGCGCAAGCTCCGCCCTCTGCCTGCATGTGAACCCTTCAGCCCAGCTCTGGGTCCCCCTCCTCCAGGAAGCTGTTCTCATTTACTCTGAGTGTGTTCCATGCCCCAGCGTGACTTGGGATGATCTGTCCTATGGCCTGCTTCCTCGAGGTCCTCCCTGTGACACACGGGATCACAGGCGATTGTCTTGTGTACGGTCCTGTGTTTACGGTGACCTGAACCAGGCAGCATGGGAGGGGCCCCAGGGGGCCATCTACGGCCCTGTACAATGTGTCGCAGACGTGTGATCTCATTTGATCCTAGGTGTTAGGGTACCGGCACATGCTGTAGGGCTACAGGAGGTCGCTGGGGCCCTCGTTTTGTGATCTTAATGGGTGCCCGCCTGGAGAGTGGATTTCTGCTCAGCTGGTCCTTCACACGCTTCACACACTTGTGCTTATATGAGGAGCGGGAATGAGGGGTCCAGCTGGCCGTAGTCACCATTTCTCAGGCTCCTCCGCGTGCCACGGCAGGATGGCTGTAAACTGGGCAGGGAGGCAGGTGCAGAAAGCCTGCCGAAGGCCACTGTCACCAGGAGTGTAATGTCACCACCTGTGTCCCTGAGTCTGGATGCTGGCTGAGATCCCATCCTACCTCGGCCTGTTCTTCCCGGGTTGGGTCCCCATTGGCTGATCTTGGACCTACCTTCTCCCCTTTCTGGCCTCTATGCCTCAGTTTCCCTCTCTATGAGAGGCAGGGGCAGGGCTGGGAGGTCCCAGCCTAACACAGGGCCCCTATCCTCCTTCATAGAGCAGAACACCGAGGCTTTTAGAGGGGGCAGGCGGGGGCCAGTTGGTCCCTGCAGCTTGGACTGGGCTGTGTGGGGGTCCCTGGTGGCCCGTAGTGGACTAGGTTGCACTGGACTCTGGAGCTGGGTCAGGGCGTCATGGGTGGTGCCACTAGTCAGATGCGAAGCTCGCCAAGCTCAGCAGGGGCCTGCGCCTGGTTTAGTCTCTGACAACCCTTCTGGGGTTCTCAGTCTGTTCTGATCAAGGGCCGAGCGCCTTCACTTTGCGCCGGGATCTTCACGCAATGCAGCAGCCACCAAGTTGCTCCGGCCGAGGAGCTACGGGGAGGGGAAACCAGCCCGCCCGCCCGCAGCGCCTGACCTTAGAGCCCGCGTGGGGTCTAACAGCCCAGGTGCTGGCGGCTTCCTAGTGGGTGGGCTGCTCTGCGGGCCAGCCAATCAGGTGCTGGGGTCTGCGGAGCGCCCCCCTGATAGGCTCTCTCCACCCCGCATCCCTTTAGCTGGCCTTCAGGGCGCTGGGGCTTGGGTTGCAGCCCTGCGGTAGGGATTTCCTCACTCCACCCCGGGGGGCCGGGGCCGGCGTTTGCCACCCGCTGCTTTATGCCCAGGACCCAGTATTGGAGCCAGGAGGGTCCCGGGAGCCTGCTGCACAGTTTCACAAGACTGACGCCTACTCTGGTCCCTCGGGAGGGCTGGGGATACACAGGCGTCCTGGGAAGGTCTTGGCCTTGGATGGTGTGACTTAGAGGGTCTGCCTGCCACCTCTGTCCTTATAACCACGCTCAAAGCGAAGCTCAGGAGAGCTTTTACTATTTATTTGGTTCTGGGAATCGAACTCAGGACCTTGTGCTTGCCAGGCAGGTGCTGTGCCGCTGAGCTATATCGACGGCCCAGGAGAGCTTTTAAAGGGGAAGCTAGACCCACTGTGACGCCCTCTCTGCTACCAACATGTGTTTTTCCCCTCCCGTCCCCTCCCGTCCCCTCCCCTCCCCCTCCCCTCCCCCTCCCCTCCCCCCTCCCCTCCCCTCCCCTCCCCTCCCCTCCCTTTTCCTTTTCTCCTTCTTTCCTTTCTCCTGTCCTACCTCCTTTCCTTCCATTTGTGGCAGCACTGGGGAGTGAACCCAGGACCTTTGCACTGAGCTACTTTTTAAAGATTTGAGACAAGTGCTTATTAAGTCATGAATTATCCATGCTGGGTTCAACCTTGTGATGCTCCTGCCTCAGTTTCCCAGAATGGTGAGGTTACAGGTGCCACCACACCCAGTCCCTTCTCACTTAAGACACAGCTCCTGTCCCACTGTTTAAAGGGCTGAAGCTCAACCCCCACCGTGTCACCTGCCACCTACCTGCTGCACTCAGAGCGGGCTTCCTCCATGATCCCCGGCACGCCAGCCTCTGATGCCCTCATCTCTCCTGCCTTCCTGGCCTCCAGTTTGGTGCTCGAACGTGGTTCCCTGACCCCTGTCTGAAGGGCCCCCTCCCTCCACCCCACCGCGCTGCCTGTGTTCCTCCGTCAGGACCTGACTTGATACCCCTGTTCCTGGCCTGCACCCCACTAGTGTGAGCTCCCTGGAGACAAGGCCCTTGTCTGTCTCCTGCACTGTGCATTCCCGAGCAGGGACCGGACGCTGCTGGTGGTGTAATGCTGGGACTGGCCCAGTGGGCGCTGGGGGTGCTGTGTAACAGGAACACGCACGGTTCCTTCAGGTGCTTCATTTTCACCTTCTTTCGTGACCCCCCTTAAGAGCAAAGCACTCCCACAATTCCCTGGGCAAGCATAACATCCGAGCTCGGGACCCGAATCCTTACGCTATTCTAAGCCGCTGCCTGCCTGGCCAGGCCGCCCTTGTTCCATGTCACCGTCTGTGCATGCCCTGTGGTGCACCCTGTTCCTCTGTAGGGGAGGCTTGGGGCAAGGCTGAGTGATACTGGGGTGCAGAGCCCCCTCCCACCTGCCCCTCCTCCACTCCATTCAGGGTCAGGGCTGGGCCTCTGCCAGGACCAGGCCTCCCCGGGTCCCCCAGCCCCAACTGGTCCCCAGCTCTCCCTCAAGCCGTCCAGCTGTGCTCCCTGCACAGGCTGCAGCTTTGCTCAGTCGGCCAGCAGGGTCTGGCCATTGCTGCCACCAACTGGCTGGAGCTCTTGGGCAGGTCCCTTCCTGCCTCCGAGTCCCAATATCTTCTCTGGAAAGAATTGGGGGGTGGGGGAAAGCTTGATCATGGTGGCCTTTAGGACTCCTTGGTGGGCCTCCTAAGCCAGGGGGACCCTAGGAGTGTCACATCCTCAATGCATCCCTGCAGCTGTCCCCTCCGAGTCTGGCCCCTGGTCCTCTAGAGAGGGGCCCAGCGAGGGACACTTGGAGACAGCCAAAATGAGATCATCCGCTTCTCACATCTCCCAGTGGGAATGGCTGCAACAGACAGGGTTTTATTTTTTCCCCATGACGCGAGTCGGGCTCGGAGAAGCCAGGTCACTCAGCCTGAGTCACACCCCGGGACGCGGCTTCTGGGGGAACTGTCCTTCCCAGCCTCGGGCAGCTGTCCCTGGCGCTGTCCCCACCTGAACCCACCTGCAGTCTGTCTGTTCCCCAGTGTGCATCCCAGGAGGAGCAGGTCTTGAAGCCCAGCTCTGTGCTGCCGCGCTGGCAGGCTTGGACGTGTCACTTGAACTCTTGGGGCCTCAGTTTCCTTACTTGGATGATGAGGGTGACTTAAGGTCCTTCTGTCTTGAGTTACGCAGGACTTTAAGAGTGGATGTAAAGGCTCCTCGCTTGGCCTGCCCTGGAGTCCGTGTGAGGTGCTGTCAAGGTCCCAGCCCTTTCACCAGGGCCACTGCCCTGCCACCGTGGGGTGACCCAGAGGACACAGACGCGAGGCCAAGGAATCTTGGGAGAGTGTCCCTGCCTCCCAGCCTCCTCCAGGATGCGATCTTTCTGGTCGGAACCCGAAACGCTTGTTTTCCCAGCATGCCCCCTGAGGCTCTCTGGCAGGCCGTCTTCCCGAAACCCTGCAGTGTGTGTGTGTGACTTTGGAGTGCATGGGCTCTGTGCTGGGCCCCTCAGTGGCCTCAGGGTGCACAGTAGAACAAGTCCGGCCCAGTGCCTGCTGCGGAGGACACTCACAGCGGGGAGAGCTGGCTGGGCGCGGGCTCAGGACAGGCTCTGGGGTGAGCAAGAGTCAGCCCTGCGGGCCACGGGGCCACGGGGAGGAAGCGGGGGAGGAGAAGACACATGGGGTGCGAGGGGCCGTGGGCACAGGAGTTTCCAGGCCCTGGGGCCGGAGGGAGGAACTGAGAGGTGACCAGGCCCAGGTCCTGGGCGTTACAGATGTCAGCTGCTGCGCAGAGCTGGGGCGCTTGCAGGGCACCTGTGAAGCCCTGGAGTGGACCTCAGCATTGCGACCAAATGAAACGAAACCAAACCCAACCCAAAATGTGGGCTGCCAGCAGCTGGGATGGTGCGTGTGTCTCGGAGAGGGGTCTCTGGTTTCCTTTGACTCAGGGGCTTCCGCAGCCTGCAGCCTGGCTGGGCGGCCTGCTGCGAGGGGTTCGTGGAGGAGAGTTTCCGTTCAGTCTGCTTAACTCCCGCCCCACCTGCGCTGGCTGGGCCTGAGATTGAGGAGGGGAAGCCGGTGTAACCCCAAGGTCAAGGTCAAGGTCAAGGCACAGCGCTCACCTGAGGAGGGAGGGACCCAGAGCTCTTTCTGAGTGGGGACAGGGGGCCCCTCAGAGGAGAGCTGCCCAGCAGGGCTTGAAGCTGAATGGGAGGCAGGAGTGGAAAGGACTGGGAGGCCTGGACAGCAAGGGACTTGGGGCTCTGGGGGAGGAGCACAGTGGGCCTTTGTGCGAGCTCTGGTTGTGGGGTCAGACAGCTCCTTACCTCGCTGATGGTGGTCGCTTGACCCCTCTGGTCCCAGTTTTTCCCTGCCCAGCAGCTCCTTCGCCTGGAGGTGCGTGCAGGGCCAGCTGCATTCCAGGGCCTCCCTTACTCGGCCCTCTGTCCCCTGCCCAGATGTGCTCAGCCTCCTGTGGACTCTGAGGCCCTGGTCAGCTTTCCATGGGCTTGTGACCGTGGCTTTCTGTGTCACGCATGGTGGCCCTCTGCCTGCTGGTGAAGGGGATGGTAGATAACTGTCCCTGCGTCCTGTCCTCTCTGGGGAGGCCCCGCCCAGGATCCCTCTGCCTCCAGGGATGCCTTGCATGCCCGAGTAGCTCACTAGCCCATCCTCTCTTGGCCACCTACTGTCCCTTCTCTGTCTCCTCTTGGCAGTTTCCCTCTCATGGCTTGCTGGCTGCCCTTCAAATACCCTGCTCTGCACCCCCCTCCTTGTCTCGGGATTTGTTCTTGGGGGACTCAGCCTAACATAGGGACAAATATTCATTCAACAAACAGCGAGTAACCAGCTAAGTGACCGGATAGGCGAATAGAGCTCTCCTTGGAGGGAACAGTGCTCAGCCTCGGACACCCGCTTAGGACAGAGGAAAGCAGAAAAACGGCCAAGAGCTAACATCTTCCTTCCACTGAACCGTGTCCGTTGTGCTGTGTGGCTTGGGCCAGTTGCAGCCTCTCTCTGGGCTCAGCCCTGCGTGGAACAGCTCGGGGCTGGGCTAGGAGTCCCCGGTTCTCCGGGCTGTGGGGATGACCACGTCTTCTGTCTCTCGCACCTCTCAGGTTTGACAACTATTCAGCCAATGTGATGGTGGACAGCAAGCCCGTGAACCTGGGGCTGTGGGACACAGCTGGCCAGGAGGACTATGACCGCCTGCGACCGCTCTCCTACCCACAGACGGTGCGCCGCCCCGCCCCTGTTCTCTCTGTGCCCCCCACCCAGAGGCCAGCGTGGCCTGATAACCCTGATCCCCCTGAGACCCAGTGGTCAGAGCAGGCCTTGGGCAGAGCTGGGACCCCAGCAGTGCTGTCAATCCTGACCGTCCCCTGTTGTCACTGGATGCATCTTCCTAGCTCCGCCTCTCCGGTACCCAGGTAGCAGCCAGGCTGTGAGGCTGCAGATGGCTCTGCGGCTGCCAAACCTGGGGTCCTGGCTGTCCCCCTCGGGGGCCGGGAGAGGGCTGGGGCTGTGGGTAGCACAGGGCACCTTCCGAGGTGGGCTTGGCAAGCCCCTAGCCCCTGTGAGCCCGCTGCCCATCCGTCAGCGGGAGGGAAACTGAGCACTTCCAGCAGACATGGGACGGGTTGGGAGCTCTGGAAGCGCCCCTGGGCTCCTGGGTGACGCAGGTGACGGAGCCCCTCAGGAAGCCCACTGCTGGGCTGTCCCACTGGAGCCCTGAGGCAGCCCTGGCCTGCTCTGTCCCCAGGACGTCTTCCTCATCTGCTTCTCCCTCGTCAGTCCGGCCTCCTATGAGAATGTCCATGCCAAGGTGAGCTGGCCGAGAGCTGGGGACTGGGCGGTGCCTGGGGTTGGGGGCAGGGACTGGCAATGTGAGCCCTCCTGGGGCAGCAGAGGCCCGTGCGGTGTGGGGAGGGGGACGGGGTGGGAACCAGGACTCAGAGAGCGCCTCCTGCGACCTTGTCCTCTCTCCTTTCCGTGCAACCTCGTGCCCGTGTCTTATCTCTGTGTCACCTCGTGCCCACATCTTATCTCCGCCTGCTCTTGTGCTGGGACCTCGTGCTGGGCTCCTCTCACCCCCCTCCACTGGTGCCCTCTGTGCCCTGTGCCCACCACTCTCCTCCCGTGCCCAGTGGTACCCCGAGGTGCGGCACCACTGCCCCAGCACGCCCATCATCCTGGTGGGCACCAAGCTGGACCTGCGGGATGACAAGGAGACCATCGAGAAGCTGAAGGAGAAGAAGCTGGCGCCCATCACCTACCCACAGGGCCTGGCACTGGCCAAGGAGATTGGTACGGGGCCAAGTGCAAGCTGGGGACATGGGGCGGGTCCAGCCCCGTGCAGCCTCGCCCCAAGGCCAGGCCCGTGGCTGAAATGCCGGCTGTGTGGCGCACTGGCTGTGTGACCCTGGCCCAATGCACAGGCCACCCTGTGCCTGTGTCTCTTCCTCAGTAAGGCGCAGCTAGAGCGATGGTTCCTGCCTCTGCTGGTGCTGGGGAGAATTAAAAATTAACATGCAGCAGTGTTAGGAGGAGCGGTCTCCCTGGCTGGACCCTGAAAGTCGGGGGTGTGGTTTGTGCAGACGGACTGGGTCCCTGGAGGGAGACCCCGGGTGGCCCAGCACGGGGTTCCTGGAGGGCTTCCCGGAGGAGGTGCTCTTTGGCATTGCATTCCCCAGCTCTGCTCTGCCGGCAGGCTGACCCTGGGCAGGGGAATCATGGTGTCCCAGAGTCACCCAGCTAGGAAGTGGCCCCATCAGGATCTGGAAGGAAGGACAGCAAAGTGCGGGTGGGGGTGAGGCGGGCACTGCCTGTCCCTGTCCTGGTCAGGCTCTGGACCACCAGCCTGGCTGGGCCACCTTGAGCTGCTCTGCCTCCCTGCTGGCCCGCGAGCCCCGTTTCTCCTCCCCCTGCTCTTCCTCCGGAAGCGGGAGGGGCCCCTCTTGCCGGAAGACAAACCGCAGCAGCCTCCTCCTCCTCCTGCCCAGGGGCCTGACTGGGGTGTGAGCCCCAGTGCCCTAGGGGCCTGGCGCCAGGGCGCTGCGCTGTCCTCACAGGCCTCAGGCGTCACTGTGTAGTCCAGGCTCACAGTTGTCCTCCTGTCTCAGCCTCCCTAGGACTGGGTGACACCCTCCCTGAGCCTCACATCCTTGTCCCCGCCCACCATTCTTCCTCGGCCCTCCGTGGGCTCCCCCGGGGCGCCCCTGCAGCCTCTGCCCTCTTCCAGCTGTGAGCTCCTGGCCTCCCTTCCCTGGCAGTTTCCTCCTCTGCCGCGTGGGGAGTCACAGGATTTCTCCACAGCGCCGTCGTCAATGCCCTCACGGCCAGGCGCTGGCGGGTGTCTGTCCCCGGACTGGGCCTTCTGTGGGGTGCAGAGCCCCCTCCTTTGCCTCGCCCCTAGTTCCCACATCGCCCTGGTCTCTGGGCTGCAGGGTCCGCGGTTCCTCCTTCCAGCTGTGTCCAGGTGGCAGCAGGCTCTGACCTGAGACCAAGGGGCGCCATCCCCAAGGGCGGGGTGCAGCCTGCTCTTCTCACTGTTGGGGCCCTATCTGTCCCTACGCCCTTGCCAAGGGGTCCCCAAGTACCCTGGGTGGGGAAATCTGTGGCTGATGACATTGGACAAGTCACAATCCCCAACCGCAAGCCTCAGAGGATGGGGCTAAGGGAGAGACAGTTGGCTGACACCCAGGAGTCCTGGTGACTCTGAGGGGTGTTTGCTCGTGGGGGGCGGGGCTCCTGGGGACAGCCACATGCTGTTTCTGAAAGAAAGGAGAGGCAAAGGGACTTGGTCAGGGGCGCTCTTGTCCTGCCTGCCTCCCACTGACCGGGGGCTCCTGTCCCAATGACATAGGTACCCCCTGGGAGTCCCAGCTGCCTACTCCAGGCAGGGGAAACTGAGGCCCCATGAGGCAGATTCCCTGGTCAGGGGACTCAGCTTCCGGGAGGCCTTCTTGGGACTGACCCTGGTTTGGGGTGTCTGCCCGGAACCCTCCCAGCTCAGGCCTTGCTCTCTTGCCGACCCCCTCACCCCCAGACTCTGTGAAGTACCTGGAGTGCTCAGCCCTCACCCAGAGAGGCCTGAAGACCGTCTTTGACGAGGCCATCCGTGCCGTCCTGTGCCCTCAGCCCACGCGGCCACAGAAGCGCCCCTGCAGCCTCCTCTAGGGTGAGCGCCCCTCCCCAGCTGCTGGGATTCCCCCAATCCAACCTGCTGAATGCATGCGCCCCTGACTCTGGCTGAAGGGGTGTCCAGCCTCGGTTCCCCAGGTGACCTGTCCCCTGCCTGAGCTACTCCTGTCCTATGGAGCCCTTTCCAGAAGGAGCCCCCAGAGGTCAGAGAAGCCTTGGGAACCAGACCAGGTCCCTGGGGCTCTGACCCCCACTCAGCCCCTTCCAGCAGAGGTGGGTGGTGGGGAGGAGGGGGGGGGAGCCCGAGGACGTGGGTGTCATCTACAGGGCTTCCTGGAGGTGGAGCCAGGGGTGGGGGGGCAGGAGGAAGGAACGGGGAGCGCATTCTGCCTGTCCCCCAAAATCTCACCCCATCTGTCTCCCTTCCAGGTTGCACCCACCTCTGCCCTCCTCCCTCCCAGTGGTCTGACTCTCCAGCCGCCCCGTGGCACCTCGGCTGGCCCTGGCGTCCCTCCCTGTGGGTTTCTTAGTGGCTGCAGAGCTTGGCTGGTTGTCCATGCTGGAAGAGCCTGGGGCCTGCAGGGGTGAACTTGCAGGAGCTGCCTCTTCCTGCATATTCCTGCCTTCCCAGGGTCGGAGGGGCCCAGGGCAGCCTGTGCCGGCTTTCTCCTGTACCACCCTCCGCCTGAATCCCCTCTGGGGACTTTGAGCCTCGGGCTGCCGCTGTCACTGCGTTCCTCCAGGGGCCACTGTGCACCTCCAGCACGGGCTCTTCCTCCAGGGCTGATGGTCTTGCTTGTCTGAAAGTCCTCCTTTGAGAAGTCAAAATGCATGCGTCGGATGTGTGCTTCTTGGTCTTTGTTCTGTTATTGCGATAACAGAGACCAGTGTCTAGGCTGCTGTGGGTATCTGCCAAGCTGTTCGAGAGTCCAACCCCTGACCGTTGCTCAGAACTGTCCACCCTCCTGGCAGGATCCTGAGCTGTGCACTCCTGGGAGTCTCAGGGTTTTCATACCCTGCCAGGCAGGACTCTTGCTATTGCAGATAGAAAAGCTACTTCAACCTGCTTAAATGGAAAATAAATTTATTGATTGTAGTTTGGAACTCCTGTGGCTTCAGGTGTGGCTTGATGGGGAAAATTTCCAAGGTTGAGGGCTTTTTGCCCTGTACCTCTGGGCTCTGCCTTCTGGTGGCTGGTTCATTCCCAAGCAGGGGACTCTCAGGACTCCACGTTCAGAGGTTCCAACTCAGTAGAGGGAAGCAAGCACTGCCTCTGTCCCAGCCGGAATCCTAAGGGCTGCCCGATTGGACCAGTGTAAGCTTTCGGCACTTCCTCCAAGCAATTATGTTTGTCAGAGGGATGGTGGGCTCTGGTTGGCTAGGCTTGGCTGACATCCTGTGCTGGTATGAAGCTGGGATGGGAGCTCAGGACAGGGCCCCCCTGGTCAGTACAGGGAAGCAGTGGCCCCAGCAGGTCCCAAGCTCAGGAGGATTCTGAGAAGGATGGCAGAAGTCCCCACTTTAGGGTTTTCTGCCTCAGAGACACAGGCCAGACTTTCCCTCTTGAGGACAGTCACCATTACCCACCCCCAAGCTTTACCTATGCATCCACGCATCCATCCATCCACTCACCCATCCATCTAGCCATCCATCCATCTACCCATCCATCCATCCATCCATCCATCCATCCATCCATCCATCCACCCATCTACCCATCCATCCATCTACCCATCCATCCATCCATCCATCCATCCATCTACCCATCCATCCATCTACCCATCCATCCATCCATCCATCCATCCATCCACCCACTCATCCATCTATCCATCCATCCATCCATCCATCCATCCATCCATCCATCTACCCATCCATCCATCCATCTACCCATCCATCCATCCATCCATCCATCCATCCATCCATCCATCTACCCATCCATCCATCTACCCATCCATCCATCCATCCATCCATCCACCCACTCATCCATCTATCCATCCATCCATCCATCCATCCATCCATCCACCCACTCATCCATCTATCCATCCATCCATCCATCCATCCATCCATCCACCCACTCATCCATCCATCCATCCATCCATCCATCCATCCATCCATCCATCTACCCATCCATCCATCCATCCATCCATCCATCCATCCATCCATCCACCCACTCATCCATCTACCCATCCATCTACCCATCCATCCATCTACCCATCCATCCATCCATCCACCCACTCATCCATCCACCTACCCACACATCCATCTGTCCCTCCAACACCTGTCTCAGCAACTCCCTCTGTGCCTGGTGCTGTTCTAGCTGCCAGGGACCTGGGGCCACCTGAATCACCCCATGCCCAGGGGCTGACACTTTACAGAGGCTAAGAGATAGCAGAGCCCCAACCAAGGTAGCCCAGAAACCCCGACTCCAGCTCCTGGGGGCTCTGCTCTCTGGGAGCTGGGAGCACCCCCACTGTCCCAAGCTCCAAGTCCCAAGGCAGGACTCTTCCACCTCCCTCTCCTTCCAGGATCCCACCTCAAAGGGACCCAGAGAGCAGGGCAGCCCCTCTGCTTCCCCTAGTTTCTGCCCAAAGTCTGTGTGTTTTCAGGGTTACACCTCTTCTGAAATGGAAAGACAACATTAAAACCCTCACAGTGGGCACAGGCCTTTGCAGGCCTGTGTTGGAAGCCACAGGGTGACCCTTCCACACTGCCAGTGTCAGAGGAAGTGACTTTCTGCCTCCTGCTCCTGCTAGGCATGGGTGTAGATTCCAGGAGGCCCCAGGAGGTCCCTCCTCTTCCACACCAGAGCTTTCACCTTCAGGCTAGACCTCAGTCCCGGAAGCCATGTTCCCGCTGCTCTTACCCCCGGGCCTTTGCACATGCTACCCTCGTCCCTGTATGCTGAAAGTGAGCTGGGGGCTCCTCCCATGGGAGCTCTCCCTAGCCTGCCCTGTGAAAGGCAGTCCAGGCTTTTATGGCAAGAATAATGTTGATAAAGAAATCGTTTCACTTGTGTTGTCCCGCCCTGCTTGACAACAGAGTCCTAATTTTGTGCATGGGCACGAGGTACCTAGCACTAGACAAAACACTTCTTTTCCCAGCTGACTTTGTACCTGGTGCTTGAAAGTCACACAGTTCTGGCCAGCCTGATGCAAGTGGAAGCCAGCAGGAGAAGCAGCATCTGGGAAAATATGTTTCCATTAATGACAGATGCGGCTGACCCTGCCCTTTGTCCCCTCCCTTTCCTTGCCTGGAATACTGATGGGATGTCTAGAGCTGCTGCAGCCATTTTATGAGTTTGAGGTCACAAGCATGAAGACACACTGTGAACCAACATACTCAGAATGTCAGAGGAGAAATGGAAATAGAGGCCGGTCGGCAGCAGAGTTAATACCCAATACCCGAGGCTGCCTTGAAGTGGAAACACACGAAAACGAAACCTCTCATCTTCACATGCTACTGCTGGTCAGGCCTCTGTCACTGTTAGTTGACAGCTTTGGTAACTGGGCCTGAGGACACTTGGACCTTTGTACGTGGCAGGACATGGGCTGGCCCACTCACTACTGCTCTGCAAATGGGCTGAGGATCGGAGGGCAGCAAAGAGCGGCGGTGAGGGAGGCCAGCGAGAGCTTGTTTTGCAACAGGAAGAGTCGTTGGGTGGGGCAGGGCCCCAGTGCAGTGAGGCTCAGTCACCAGCAGCCTGGGGCTCAGTGCCTGGCCCGGCGGGGTAAGGGACTCCATGCAGCACACCTGGCCTGCCAGGCAGGAACACCTCTTTAACTGGGCTTGGTGGCACACTCAGGTAATCCCAGCAATGGGGAAGCTGAGGCAGGAGGGTCCTGGCAAAAGTCCAGCTGGGCTCCATAGTGAGACCCTGTCTTAAAAAGAAAACAAAAAAGAAAAAGAAAAAAAAGGGCCACTTCTTCCTGGCCTTGCCGTGCTCTGGCTCCTGGCCTTGCCTCCTGTCCCCCAGCAGCAGCGACGCCTCCTCTCCGGCCTCCCTACCGGCCCCTGCTTTGACCCATCTCCCAGCAGGCAGCGCAGTTCTCCCCTTCAAACGGAGCCGAGCACGCAGTGCCGTGTGTGCCCTGCTGTCCCCAGAACTGCTTGGGGGCCAGGGACCCCTCCATCACTCCGGCATCCAGTGGATCATTGTGGGGAGTACGTGTCAGTCTGCAGGTTCCAGGAGGCACTGAGCTCTCAGCAGCTCACAATTTGGGGTGGCGGTGGGGCTCCCGTATCTCAGAGAGCGGAGAAGCAGCCCTTCTGCCCTGCCCGGCCTCGTCCCTCTGCTGCGGGTCCAGGCCTTGACCAGAACTCTGCAGGGCACAGCTCTCCGTTTCGCTTCCCAGGTGGCCCTGGACAGACGGTGCCCAGCAGCCAGGCTCCTTGTCCTGAGTCCCGTCCCCGCCCTGGATGGCTCCTGTGGCTTCCCATTACAGTCAGCTCAGGTGCTGGGGAGCAAGACCCCTAGTCAGAGCACGGGCAGCAGGCTTTCACCCTCGCTGCCCGTGGTGGGCTGGCTGACCTGCCTCGGGCAGGGCTGGGCTGGGCTGGGCTGGGGACCCATTCCTGCTGCAGGGCGGTGGGCTCTGCTCCCCAGTCCGCTCAGCCTCTGCCTAGCATTGGCTGGGACTGTAGTTCTCCTGCTGGATTCCGGAAGCACTGTGTTCCAGCTCTACCCTGACTGTGTTGGAGGCCTCTGCTCACGCTGCACGTGGCCAAGGTCACCACTGTGGGGAAGGGAGGTGAACCTCTTCAGAGTCGGGGAGAAGGGAGGTTTGCTGAGTGCCTTTCTGACCGCTCGTGTATCCTGCTCGGCCTGATTGCTTCTACTTTGCTCTTGGACTCAGTTTCTTCCCACAGAGCAAACAGAGCTGCCACATCAGAGCCAAACCAGACCCGGTGGCTCCCACATCCGAGCCCTCCTGTGATCCCACAGGGCACTGGGCATGGAAGTCCCAGCCTCGCCCATCAGCCCTGTAGCCCCTGGGGCCGTTTCCTGGAGACCTGCCCCACCCACCCCAAGACCTTGGCTAAAGCTGTGCCTCCTCCCATGACACCTGCTCACCCCGCACCCCCACAGCCGCGCACCCCCACAGCCGTGCACCCCCACAGCCGCGCACCCCCACAGCCGTGCACCCCAGGCCTCTGCCCTGTGGGGTGGGGCGGGGCCTGCCTTCCTTGCTGTTTGCTGGTTTCCCTGCACAGTGAGGCTGCAAATGGATCCAGGGTGCTCGGGGAGCCTGGGGATGCCGACCTGGCCTGTGACCTCATGGCGCCTGGTCTCTATCCCCCCTGCCATGGTGTGGCCACGTGTAAGAGCCATCTGGGATGTGGCAGCAGAGGCCCGGGTCACCACGAGGAAGGGAAGAGCCGTTCACAGGAGCTCACTCTCCTGCAGAGTCACAGAGAGGCCCTGCGCCTGCTGCTGCAGTCTTGGGAACTGCTTCCGGGCCACTGGTGTCCGAGAGTGACCTCTCAGGGAGAGACTCTTGCAGTCCAGTCTTCCGATTGCTGCTCCGCCCTTCACATCCTCCCTCTGGCTCCATCCAGGGCTCAGGAGTAAGGGGACAAAGCAGGGCAAGCCCCGGGAGGAAGGGGCAGGCCTGGGGACCCCAGCAGAGGGCCTGACAGAAGAAGGCACAGTGTTGGGGTCCCCGGCCCCGCTTCCGCCTCATCTAGTTCCCCGTGGGTACTGGGTCCTCTGTCAGGGCGCGCAGAGGCTGCGGACGTAGAGAGGGAGGCACAGGCTGTCCCTCTTTGGGACCCAGAGCCCAGGGGACAGGCACACATACAAATCAACCCCCATCACGAGGCCCGAGCCGCATGTCACACAGCACAGACAGGAAGAGGCTCTGGTCCCAGGGGGCCATGCAAGACAGATCATGAAACAGGAACACAACGCCCATCTTCAGAGAAGGCAAGAGACCCCTGAAACCCCAAATCACAGCGTGAGAGGGCGAGAGCAGAGGGTGAGGTGAATACGTCATTCGCCCAAGGCCAGGAGGAGGATCTCAGTGCCTGCCGGGAAGGTGGGGGAGGGCGGGGAGCCTCCAGAACCCCAGGAGGACTCAGGATGAGGGACTCAGACCCTGCCCCCGGGA